ACTGTGTCACACTGTGTCGCTTGCTGGAAAGCACCAGAGATAGCAGCCCATGTGTATATGACCAAATTGTTCAACGCATTCGCAAACGAACGAAGGACCAAGTATGTGTCGACAACGACGTAATGCAACCTCTGTTAACGTAAGATGATCTTCCAAGATAAGGAATGACATCGCATCGGCTTTCGTTGAATCTCGAGACGCGCGATTTCTCGGGAGAGAGAGAGAGAGAGAGAGACCGGAGTCCTCGGCGAGTCCGTATCGGGATTGAAAATGGCCATTATCTTCGTTACTACACGCGTCGACTGATGCGAGTTTCTTCCTCGAAGCGTTCCGCGCGACGCCGCGCGCCGTCGTGCGTACGTGCCGAACAGCGGCTACGAAGTAAACGAGCCGTGGAGGTACACGATCGAAGGTCGATTGTAAACATTTATGACGATGCCGCGGCTCCGGCTATCGACGTTTACGTTACAGATATACGAGCCGCAAACGGCTGAAGGCCAACTGTAAAAATACGAGTCGATTCGCGGCTGTAATAAAGATAAGTAAAAATACGCACCCGGGACTCGAGCTCAAAAATAATGTAACGGACACAAGGGAGTACACTTCTTCGTTGAAGAAGTGCAAAAAGACAGAACACGTACAGATGCTCTGTGTAACATCGAAAACGATTACTCGTTTGATACGAGTACATATCGACAATTACTTTTAACTCGAATAAGGTAAGGGGTGCAATTTGGAACATTACGTTCTATAGTTCCATACAGCACTCTTTGATGCTGAGAGGCATCCTGAGAACGTTAGGATATTAAGAAGATAGACATAGAGACGTCTTCTGAACGATCATCTTTAGGACTTCTCTTGACGGTCGCGGTCTATGAAAAAAAAACTAAAGTATAGATCAACGTTGGACTCTTAGAGATCATTTATACATGCCATAATCTGTAAGATATATTGATCAATCATAGTTGATTATTCCCCTTTCATTGACTGTGATTGATTAATTTCATATTACGGCATGTATAAATGATGCATTGCTTTTACGGACTCTAGTCATTATTAGATCATTATGCCATCTAACGTTATGTGTCTTAACTTGTTGAGTTTGATCACGGTTTCTAGTGGAAATGTGACTGAATGGAAACACAGTGGCGTTGAGTCACAGAGCGAGCCTATTGTTCTTACTTACATTGTAGTTTAGTTTTTTCCTGTCTAATGGTACTCTTCACACAATGAGATCAGGGTTACCAAACTTGAACCTCGAAATTGAATTAAAATCTAATTGTGTTCAAAATGGTATTATGTTTGAAACTGTACCACCTTTACCCTACTCGAAATTCTTGCCCGTGTCACAAACTAGAAATACGGAAACTCGCCTCTAGCGTTTCGTATAATTTGTGTGATAAAATGCCATTGTGCTGTTGCTATGAAATAGCAGCGGAAATGCGGCAGTAACGTTTGCCTGTGTACGGGTTTACGTACAGAAAAGTCAATGGAAATGTCAAAATCCTGATTGGATCACGTTCCTTCCTGTCCAAACGGCGAGCTCTCTCTCTCTTCGAAATCTGTCAGCGTGTTATCAAAAGTTTCGGCTTGGATTTTTGCCTCGGTCGCCGAAGGGATAAAACGTCCGCGGGATACAAATGTAATTTTCATAGCGAACCAAGCTCCGCGTTACTTCCGGTTAGCGTACGCTCCATCGAGCGTGTTTTTGGATCAGAAAGCCTTCTATCGAGGGAACTAACGAAACCATCGAAAACAACAAACGAAAGAGAGGAGGTAGAAAACTGGAGAGAGGATATACTAGTCGAATTCTCTCCTTTTATACGAGATGCTCTTTGCCCTTTGCTTTCATTTTATTCGCACGATGTGAACGCGCAGTAAAAAAGCACGTTGGGTAAGTGAAGAAGGAAAAAACAGGTCGCGGGGATAAGAGAAGAAATGATGGCGGTGGTTGAGATCGATGCAGCCTTTCGCTGATTTGTGAGATCGCTTTTCACTCGTTCCGCTTTCCTCTCTCTATTCTTGCTGCTATTCTCAGTCTTCTTTCCGCCGATTTTCCTATCCGTGTTTCCCTTCCTGTTTGTTATCCCTTTGAATTTTCTCGCTCTTGAAGCCCATACTTGTAGATGCGGAATGGATTCGGATCGCGAATCGTTGACCAGCCAATCAGATTGATTGAGCAACGATTCACAGTTTACAAATCGAATCACAAATCCATATCCATAATGCATAGTGTGACATGAGCTTAAGCTTATCAATTTCCGGTTTCTTTTTAATTAATCACTAAGAAAAAGAAATAAAACATTTTATAAAGAAGCCTTATTTCTTTTAATGAAATTTATTGATTAGAAAATTTATCCATTGATTTAAAAAATTATTAAAAATGTATAAACAAATCAGAAGAAATATGTACAATATTCTTGTATTTTCAAAATGGCTTTTTAATATAATTTAATCCCTTAATACGTATTTTACCTATATATTTATTCATACATATAAAACATAAAATTACATAAGCGTATAAATACAAATAAATAAACATGTAAATATTATATAAATATATTATATATTAAAGAGACGTATAAATATACAAGAATATTTTTTATAACATTTATTTAATATTTTTGAAATTGTTCCGGTGATTATAAAATTCTTCAAACAAGTGTTTCAAATAAATAATTTTTAAATCTCATTAAAAGAAAATTACAAGTTCTTTTCTGTAAAATTTTATTTTTTCCTTTTGTTAATGAATAATAAAAGAAAAATGAAAATTGGGCCAATTTTCAGAGTTTCAGAATTGATTCTAGAGTAAATTCGGATGGTAAAAAGAATAATACATAGTTTTAACATATCAGAACATTCTCTATGTGCCAAAATATCGTAACTTTTTTAAATTTCCGAGTTGGAATTTTCCGTTGTATAAAGCAGGTATGTCGAGAAGGCCGTAGCGCCACGTAATTGCATAAGAAAAAAAATTGGTTTTGAAAGAAAGTGACGACGATGGAGATGTTGCTTCGCATTTCCTTTCTGTCGTGATCTTTCACAGCAGATTGTTAGCGTTTACTCTGGGCTGCGTTCAAAAACACTACCCGAATATCTCTCTGTATCATTTTATCTTTATTGTTCACGAAATATTAAACAAGGATAAAATGATACTTGGAGGTATTCAGGTAGTGTTTTCGATTTACTTGACACTGAATATTAAATATTACTTGATACTACATTACATCATTATTTGTACATGTATATTTATAATATATTTAAGACTAAATATTTAATACTTTAATACTAAATACGTAAATCTTTTGACTTGTGTCTTGATATTAATAAGCGCAATCTTCGTATCAGACAGATATAAAATCCAGTATCGAAAGATGTCTTTTAGCACCACGTATAGCTGTATATTTATCTTACGGTTCGTATAACCAAAATACGGACTATTTCTAATTGATTATCTCAAAGAAATATCGTTTACGTTGCGCGGAAACAATCGCGATAGATCGCTGCGACGCGAGCGTCATACGTGACGTTTAAGAAACCACGAGTTAAGTCGTTACGGCGCCTCATGTAATTTAATCGCAGGAAACAATTCCAATTTTGCATGCATAACGTCGCATATTGCGCACGACAGATCGTAACGCGCACATCTCGGAACGTCAGCGAGCCTGCGTTGCACGTTATATGTCTGCGAGGAATAATATCTTTCGGTATTGCCATCTTTAAAACATCGGCTCGATAAAACACGATGCAAATGATCTATATTTGTCACTAGCAGATTACCTATGTACGCTTTATGCGGCACGTGTCTGCCTATAAATAGCTCCATTATCTGAGACTGCTAGGAGAGAAGAATCTCTAAATATTTATTAAGTACAATATGACTTTCCGTATATATATATATATATATATAGTATTATTTAAAAAACAAAGGCAAAATTTAATATATTTATAACGAACAATTGGCTGCAGGAGTGCGTATTAAATCTTTCGGTCGATTAAGGATACATGTCGGTACGAAAATGAAATCGTGGAGAAAAAAAAATTTTGAATGAGACAGCTGGAGCATGATCACATTACATGAACGCGGTTACCGTTTCTGCTTCATCTCGCTTACCTCTCGTTGTAAGCGTTATTCTCTGATTTATCTCAAAGTTCGCGCGTCGTAATCACGCGATTTCAGCGAAACCTGCCGTCAGCGAATTCCTCCGGCAAACAAAGAGTCGCGTTGGTGACTAGAGAAGGACAGAGCGCGAGAAAGAAGGTCGCGAGGAAACGAGTCGAAAATAAAAAGGTACGTGACGCGAAACAAACGAACTCTTTTGGCTTTATTATTGTACTTAACTTTAAGTCTTTATTGTAAAAAAATAAAATGCAGAATGAGTAAAATGATAATAGGGTTTCGAGAAGAAAAAGATAAAAAAAAAGAAATAGAAAAGAATAGGTTAAAAAAATAGGAAAAATAAAAAATTATACGATATTCATTTTTCGTATAAAAAAATGACTTAAATCCATTTTATAAACACACATACACGTACATAATATGTATGCATTGCGTAAAATAATTAGACAAAAAAAAAACAAATTTAATATCACAAGGTCATTCTCGAAATTAATTCGCGCTGCTCTATGTCGCAACGTAATTTTAATTCAATTAATGCTTAATTAGCGCTATACGTAGCGTCGAAAATTAATATGACACTAGACTGCAGACCACACGCAGGGGACAAATGCTAATGAGAGCCACTGCTCAGGAATGGCTACTACCTACTTGTTTTCATTTAGACACTTATGAGAGCGTGTGTGAACGACGAACTGTTTATATTACTGCGATGCTAGAGACTCTTGCTATCGGCAAGAGTCTACGTAACCGGATCACGCAGTCGTCATCAGCTAACTCGTTCCGGTTCTCGGTAAAGCGATATACCAAGAAAATCGAGGTTCGAGAACCATCGGCATTAACTCGATAAAATATGCACGGACTAATTTAATTTCTTACTTACATTTCCGTAGCAGATTGCAGACTGACAGATAACATATGCATGATTTATCCAATCGCGACTCACCTGAAACAAAAATTAAAATGTCATATTTAATAATACGAAGGAAAATATTAATATAGTTAATGTATGCTTTATAAAGTGATTAAAGATATATTTGTTTTATTCTCCATTTATATAAATGAATGACGTCAAATTATAAGCGGCGAAAATTTGATTGATATATCTTGTACATATTAAAATATGCTTTCTGACGTGTAAATACACTAACACACTAGATTACAATCTCAGCGATACGCAAGTCGGACATACGCATGTTACAAACCGCTCTGCTGTTTTCCTAGTATGTCACGGCAATAATCCACGAAACAATTTCGCTCGTCATTGTCTCCCGCGCGCTTATTATCTAGCGACGTATTATCATTCGCGATAATGTCTGTGCGATTTTTGTGTCAAGTAACAAAAATGGTAATAACTTTTTTTCACGACTGAAGAGTCCACTATGTTATCAGGTAAAATCTTGCGAAAAATAGTGGTCCGTTATATTTCCGTTACATTGCTGCAGTGATGACATAATTTACAACGACGTAAACGATGATGTCACGGGATCTTTTTTACAATACTCTTTCTCCTTGCAAATGCGACTGTTTGCATGTAATTAAAGGGAAAAAAATTCGATACCACCAGTTGGGTACAAATCGCTGCTTCCGACCTGACGAAACATTTAATTATAGTTTAAATATTGATTCCATATCCTACTGTTTGAGAACCGACGCCTTTCTGCGATAAGTCGCGTAATGCTAGGAATGTGTCACGATCGATGTCGTTTGTTGTAGCTGGGAGTCCAAGATACGTCGTCGGAGGTAGGACTCTGTGAATCATTACCTTGAGTGGTTAAAAGTAGGGAGCCGTTAAGAAGGCGAAGGAAGACGAAGAAGAGAAAGAAACCGTATAGAGATAGGGCAAAGCGAAGACGGTGGTAGTTGCGAGAGAGAGAGGAGAGAGACGGAAGATAAGAAGTTCGAGACGAGCAACAGTGTTTACTCTTGACGGTCGGCGAACGCCATCCGTGATCCCAGAAACCAGAACGTGATTATATCTCGCTCTCTCGGTCCTTTTCCTTTCGTCGCGTTGACGCGTCCGTTCCTGCGCTTATCGCTCTCTCCCTTTTCGAAGTACGTGTGATAAAATCACTTTTATAACGCACGCATTTCTTTCTCTCTAAACAGACGATGTACGTGCTTTCGTTGTATTATAGAAATCGCTCGTTTTACGGGTCTAAATGAAAGAAACGCTTCTACAAAGGTCAACATAGTCATAGATCAACGTGACAACATAGTCAAAGGTCAACATGACAACGTAGTCAAAGGTCATGCATAGTCCGGCGCATATCCTATATAGGATCACCAGCAGTTCCAACGAAACCAATGCTTCGACCGTCAACTGACGGCCAAACTTCTGTCAGCCAGTACTAGGTCATCACTGGCAAATGACTGGCTAAAATAACTCTGCCACTGAACCCAAGTTACCATCCAGTATTGGGTCAGTACTGGCCAAGTACTGGGCGGATTATAAAACCCTATATAGGATTATATATCGTCTCACCGGTGAAACAAGACTCAGACAAAGATGTTTCGCAAACACGAACTAACCATCGTTAACGATCTAAAGGAACATTTATAGATAATCAATTGCGTCGAACGTAATTCGTATTTGCACCTCGATAGGCAATCGTCTGACAGTTGCGATGGACTCGAAATCTTGTTTCACGGGGAGACACCGAAACATTTAAAAATGGGATCCGTCGAAAAGCGATCGGCCGCAGTACCAGTCGGAATCGAATTATCCCGCAGAGCGGAATCGAAATGCCCGCGAGGTACCGAGAGATCTCTCTCACCCGGACGGCGGTGAGAGATCTTCTCGGATAGCCCGGAGGCCGGTTCGATTTATCGGCGAAGGGATGAATCCGGGTGCAGGGGCGCGTAAACGAGCGGAGCGGGTGACGCTTGCATAAAGCGGTGGAAAATTCGGGTTGAAACCTGTGAAAGCGGGGAAAGAAGATCAATAAAGTGGTGTGCCATACTGTCGGTGCCGCCAGTG